TCAGCAACTAGATGGGTAAAACAAATTTATCCCCCCACCCTTATGTAAAAATTTTGTTATCTCCCAAAATCTGGGAGACACGTGACCATGCCTGGACCAGGGTCTTTCCTCCAGCGAGGTGTGCAGTGGAAAGAGCCTGGGTACGAGGTTGTATGAAAAATATTAGAAACACTTTGACGTTTCGATCGAAGCTCTTTGTTTGGAAATTCTGTATCTTAAAAACTTGCTGTCTTCATGAAATTTGGTCACATGAGACCTATACCATGTAAAATTCCATGTAAGATCTGAAGAATGTTGTGTCTACACGGAGCAAACCTGTTGACAACACTCAATCACAACGAAATGTACTACAGCAGAATATACAGACTCGAAAATGGCGAACACTATAAGAGGGCGATAGTTTACAACGTTAAAAGCCTCCAAGGAAATTTTCATTAAATTTAAGCCAAAACAATTTTAAGGACTGCGATACATACATATACAGAATGAATATAGAGAAAATATCGTACATACTTAACTAAACAGAATGAATGTAGAGTATCGTACATACTCAACTAAAAATAATAAATGTTACATACTCAACTAAACATAGAGCAGCCATGAGTTTGACAACATCTGTCATCATGCTGGGTTCTTCAGGATACATTGACTTCGCAATCAACAGCAAACCTTCTTCACTTTCCATCATCAAGTTTAAACCAAACTATAAGGATAAATCGTGCATATACTGAGAATGCTGCACGAAATGAAAATACTTGGATTGAAAACAGTTAACAAGTTCCAATATAGTGCTGAAATGTGTAGTCTTAATTGTGTATTTTACGATGTTTATAATTTACTGAATGATATATAAACGTTGGCCCAGAACTCTGGAACTACCACGTCAAAGACTCTACGTTTTTTATTTTTTTGCGCAAAGTGCTGAATTATATAAGTTGGCAGTCTGTGAGGGGGAGTGTTCCTCTACAGCCTGTTTGCTTTGTCGGCCAACTCAATGTAAAAATATTTTCGCATTGCGTACATGTGGTTAGCCTATAGGATTGGCAATTGTTATAGCGTATAGCTAATTTCGTTCAAAATAAGTAAATTAATCGTTCGTTTGAAATCGAGGCCATCTTGGTTAATTTTTCTACCATTGAACCATAAAATTTTTATTCTTCATTCTTTGGCGTATGAAGCCAGGCCGTGTAAATTATCCATAATAGAGGGAGCGTTTATAATTTATGTGGTGAGGGGAGGTTATGAGGATTTTATGGGGGGAGCAGTTATTTTTACCACTAATCTTTATGGGGGGCTGTTCTGGAAGGGGGTGGGGTAATCAAGAAACGCTATACTGTTTTTGGCGTGATGTACAAAAATATGATAAAATGCCTGCGTTCAGTGTTGATCAATAAAGGAATACCAAATGGTTTTCCGTGCAGGATTGCGTGATCCATGCACGCGGGATGTTGCGAGACTTTCGGAAAGCGTAAAAATACACGATCCGTAGGCGAGTGTATTTTTACGTTTCCTGAAAGTCGAGCAACATCCCAAGTGCATGGATCATGCTATCCTGCACGGGAAAACCATTTAGTAATTGTTTTATAAAATTACTACAGTGAAACGACGCTTAACTTGATTAAAATTACTGATGAAATGTGCAGTTATCACAACATTCGTGAATTAACCAATCAGAGAATCGCTACTCCACGCTATTGAAAACAACAACATATGTGAACAGAATTTGATCGCAAATTCGCGAAAATATACAGCGAAAATACAGGGACTTTTTCGATAAAATATTCGAAATTTGAAATGGAAAACCTGCTAAACAGAGAGCTAAAGTAGTTTTGAAGATTCTCGACCCGAATATGTGAAGATTTGGTCAACTTTGAAGCGAGGGATATTGTACTTGCATGCCATGGTCTGATCAATTTCAACGCTACACGTTGCTACTTGCTGAATAGCAATATATTGATCAGAAATTTATTCATACAACTAAACCAACGTCTCAATAATTGGAAACTTACTACAGAGTCGAAAGATATCGTACAATGAAACTTTACAATGCGAGTATATTTGTAAAATTATGTGCAAGAATTTCTGTTCAGAATTTCCCGTGCATGAGGATTGTCTGATACTGCACGGCTGTTGACCAATCAAATTGCATGTTTCACTGTAGTTATTATATAATTACTAATACTTTATGTTAAATCAATGATTGGAAAATACATGCGAGGGGTTGCTGCATGCATGGAATTCTAGTAAAATTGTTATATCTAGTCAGGTGACCGCAATGAATTTTATTTTCCAAAGGGTTGATACTCAACAGTTGGGCAACACAAAGCACAAATCCTACGCCTTGCAGATCCACAATTATAAGCTGCTTTCCTGATTTGAGACCCTAGCTAAAAATGCATCACGGCAGGCACCACTTTCAAACTTATCAATGCTAATTGACAATACTACTTCCACTGGATCTTTCCAGCTTCTTCTCTCAATACCAAATGCTTCTAACTGTAAAGTGACAATGTCCTTTTTCGGTGGGATCAACTTCCCGGTCTTAATGAGTTGACTGAGAGGGACAGACTGAGGGAATACAGACCGAGACGACGGTGCAATATTGGAGCAACTAGGCACGTTGACAAATGATATTGGTAGTGACAGGTTATGTGCTTGAGTGTGGTCTTCCTTTTCTTTAGAACTTCTGCTCTTTCTCAGTTAGGGTTCTTTTTCCACAAACCGGATGTGAATAAATTTCCAGTTCTTAATCTGATTCATACTTGTATAAGATGGTCTTCTCTCCCCCGCAAGAACGTCGCATTGATATCCTTTATCAATCTCGAAATGGTCTTTGCATGCGTGTTTGATATTTTCCATTGTCTTATCTTCATGTGGAACGGTACCATTGTCAATGGGCCAATTCTTGTATATTTTTGTGCCTTTCCTTCGACAGAGGCAGATAGTGGCTGTACTGTCAAATATTCAGACTCGTCTTTTTCCAACCTCGTACCCAGGATATTTCTTTGGGAAAGACCCTGGCTGCGGCTGGTCACGTGCCTCATCAAAAATTTAGCGCCCGAGGGTGTGTGGGGAAGGTATCAAATTACATCAACATGCTTCCAGTGGGATATTCGTTCAAAACATAAATTTTGTGAATTATTACGTTCAAAATACTTGCTAATTTTGGTTTATTTTCTTTGCTTTGAATTTACAAGAACATTCAGCCAAGTCAAAGAAACCAAGCAAATCGTTACTCGCAGTGCTCGAGTCTCGTGTTGTTTAAATACTCAATGCATGTTCTGTTCACACTCGAGCACGATTATAACAAACGTTTATTGTAATGTTTTTAAAATACGCCATTACATTCGTCCATTCTTGTAAATGTTGATACGCTTTGCACCGATTCACTTGTTACTACGCGTCTTGTTTATAAGATTTTTAAAAGAAACAGTATTGTCTAGGACTGGCCCAATATTAGCAAATGTAAATATTTGATAATAGACACAATAGCCGAACAGAGAAATGTCCATAAGCATAGAGGAAATTTCATTCATTGATTTATCTGGATTTAGTACATAATTTGTATTCGGTAATTATAGTAAGACTTTAGCCTTTTTCTTGGTCTCTATTAATCATTATATTATGTTAACATACTATAATCTATATCACAAATTTACAGTGTCAGATGCGCACACACCGTCATTGGCGTCATACGAATAGACATAAATTTTCGAGTTTTCTACTTCTACTAACATTTCATTGTGAATCACCTGTTTATCTCTAATTCATTAATCATTTGCTACTTATATTTATTTGATAGTGTCATATAGTGAATAATGCGTTTACACACAAGCAATCCTGGTTATGATAGACGATGCAAGCTACATGTCCATTAAAAAATAACGGTATTCTATTTCACAAAGCAAAAATTTAAATCTCACTTGTATTATTAAGAATGCATATAAAGCAAAAAATTATAGCTTATTTATGCCAAAACGAAAGCTGTTAAAAAATTTATAAAGGTGGTGAACACTACTAAAGAGTGCTTATTGAAAGACATGTATTATATAGTGACATATAATTTGTCGTTTGACTTATCTTTGGTGTATGATTTTAATACCGTAGATTTTCAACAGACAACTATACTTTGACATATACCATGATCGTTGGTTTCAGCAATGCCAAGGGCCAATTTTATAGTCTTTTGACGGGCTTTAAGTTTTTTTGATAAGGCCTTTATATAGATCAACAAATATCTGGATACAGTTGGCGTCTTGGCGATATTTCGGAAATCAAAAGATCTCGCTATTTCGTTGCAATTCCACATCTCATCAATAAATAAATTCTTTTGGTCCGAGTATCAGGATAGACTTTAATACTAAATAAATAACAACCACACTGTTCTGTCTGGAGATATATATTTTCTTGTAGGTTTAATATTGCCACGCTGCACAAGCGGCAAGCCGCCGCAAGCGTGCTTTCTTTGGCAAGTCTATAATGAAATCTGATCCAACTTGTTTGAATTGTAACTCGACACCAGATTGTAGAGTAGAACGTCACGATATAAATATTAATTTAATAAGAGTTCTCTTTACGATTTCTTGTTGCAAATTTACAGTAAATTTCATCACCCAAAGTTGCAATTTTATAACGCTACAAACACGCTCCTTTCCCACCCCTCTCACAGTTACAATTAAATTTACCTCCCAGAATCTGGGAGGCACGTGACCAGCCGCAGCCAGGGTCTCTCCCAGATGACAGAAGGAGAGACCCTGGGAACGAGGTTGGTCTTTTTCTTCCTTTTTTCTCATCCTTTTGCGGGACAGTTTATTCTTAAACACATCCCACTGCTTCCGCTTTGACATTTTCGTTGGTTTAGATAATAGATATAGAATTAGTTGAAAGTTTATAGAACTGAAATGCTATTTAAGTATTTATATTTCTTGCACGAGTTGAAGACTGAAGTGTAACCATAGTTACTTGGTGACCGCGATCTGTTTGGTTTGCGGACGCATTAAGTAGAGTACGTCCCCCCGGAATGGCACGCCTGGGCCACGTATCGTTTTTAATTCATTTTATTTTTTAAAGAATAATTAAACTGAATTAAATCAAAATGGAAATGACATTAATATTAAATTATACCTATATTGAAATTAGAATTGAATTGAAATTAAATTGAAATTAAAATCAAGTTAAAATTGGATTTCATAAACAAAAATGTACGTGGCACACCTGGGCCACCATAGAAGTCTATATACTGTACAATATATTAAACAGTTAATTCAAAAAAGGTTGTTCTGAAAAAGTCAGAACCTTAAACTTTAAACCCCAAACTCTTAGCGTGCAAAGCATCATGGGGGCATGGATAACAGGTTAGGTTGTGTTGTAAACAGTAGCAAATATACTACAGTACTCACACTAATGGTATTTTGTATCATACAACTCAAAGAATTAAAATATAGCCTTTTTTGCCTGCCCAATATTCATGATGCTTTGCATACTTCAAGGTTTTGACTTTTTTAAGGACAACCTTCTTTCAATCATTCAGACTAAACAAATACGCTCCAACCTATAGTAATGTACGTCTATTAATCATTAGTATAAACCTACTAGTAGGCTATTATGTATCGTGCGTTCTGATTGGCTACGCTACTAACAAGCGGTGAAGGAAGAACAAGCAGTGAATGACGCGAGAGTCAATGGCCGTTTTTAAGTATTAAGAGCTGCATTATCAGAATGGCCTAATTTTGGTTCTGGATTACATACAAACAAAGAATCTTGGAAACTGCGGACACATGCTGTAAAATTTTTAAGTTTTCTCAACTTTGCTCGTAGTTTTGAACATGAAAGTGACAGGCGATTTTTTAAAATATACAGTATGCACAATGTTTGTTAATATTCCAAGCAGAATCGTTGAAATTCAACAATACTTTGTAGCTATTTACCTCTATTTTCTTTTCACTAACTTCTTTAGTGTGTTCACGTATTCATGTATTTCGCTGTCATTTTAAAGAGTTTTTTTCGTTTAAATGTTGAGATTTTGGCCGAGTTTGTTTTTCGCCTATACTCGAGCCTTTTTAAGTCGAGTTTATCGATTAAATTTTAATCTAAACTATTGTTTATGTATACTAGATTATGCCGGGAAATGTTTTGCCTCTTTATGTTCCAGATATTTTAAAGATTTCAACGGCATTCGGATAATCGGATTCTTTTGCATGTGTATGCATTTTTATTCGACTTTTTAACGTAAACTTTATTTACTAACAATTCGGGAAGCCATTTTGTGTTCGAAATTTTGGACTTTTTAAGCCTTGTTTCCTTCTTTTAAATAGTTTTAATTAACTAAACTTTGCTTCTATAATGGTCTTTTACTATTATACTGTTTTTACGACATGTTTTTAACTTTTTTAAAACTGACAAGTTGTATTTTTCAAGTCATTCTTGAAAGTTCGCCACATTGAGTAGTTGTCAACAAAGCCGAGGCGAAATGTCGCCAAAGGATATGAGGCGCGGAATTGGACATTATTCTGAACTTATTATATAACATGCTAAATTCAATATATATATATATATATATGGCATATTCGAGGGCATATTTTACATACACAGTGATAATTTTGAAAAAAGCCGTTCTAAACATCATCATATACATTCAGAATTTCTTGCATCGTGTTGTCAAATTATATAACTTATTCTAAACTTTTAAATAACATGCCAAAGTTTTTTATAACATGCCAAACTTTAATTTTGCCGCGACCCATTTTACATCGTATTCCAAATTTTCATGTGACATGCTAAACTTTTATCATATGCTGAAAGCACTTTTATATCGTATTGCATAATGCATTGCGGTCGCCTGCCTGCATAACTCGACAAATCAGAGCCTGTGCTTGAGCTGAAAATCGGCAAACCTAAGTGGAAACCTTCGAACTGCGCTTTGTAATATTGCTGGCATGAAGCTGGGAACTTATTGGACAATTTCGACGATCGAAATAGTTTGTTATTAAAGTGTTTATGAAACGAAATTTTCTGGTCCCTATTTTGGGATATTCTGATAGAGTTTTTTACGCTGAATATCGTGAGCTAATCTGTTTTTGACGTAGTGATATAGAAAGTGCCTTATTTTGACTCTGAAAGTGGCATTTTTTTACAATTATACGTCCGAGCTGAACGCGCGGTCACATTTCATGTGTGACGTCACTGGTTAGAGTCGTTCTAGCAAACATGGCAGCTATAGGCAAGCGTGAGGGAGCTTGTGGGTACAAAAGTAAGAAACAGTTGGGGAAATATTGCGTTGCTGGTGGACCTGGTAATATCAGTTGTAAGAATAACTGCAGGGTCCAAGGAATATCCATGCATGGATTCCCTAAGACTGAAGGAACTCTGCGAAATTTGTGGATAAAGTTTGTCCAACGACATCGACCGAACTGGCAGCCATCGCCATATTCTGCATTATGCTTGGCTCATTTTGAGGTGCATTTCTACCTCCAGCGGCCAGACATCACTGTTAATCAGTTAGACACAGACAACTCCTTTCAAACAAAGAAAATGTTGGACAGAAAAATAGCCTATCCTATGATTGATACTGTTCAGCCTGAGCGAGAAGTGCATAATATTTCTGATCGTGAGCATAGGAAGGTATGATTGTGTATAAATATGTAGTTTGTTGACAAAAATTGAATGTGTTGTATTTATCTCGCAAAGTATATTTCTATACATTAATATTATATTGATTTTTATTGATATGATCGTTTATGTTTTGTAGATTTTGCGTGATATAGGAGGTCATTCAAGCACGACCGATTTCGGTGATTTGCCGCACAAGAAGCCGATGCCAACAACGAAGTGATCGAAGTATTCCAAGACGCTGTAATCGAATTTACATGCAGTACACTGAAGGCAAAGGCAGATATTGCATCTAACTTTCCTGATTTGTGACTTCGCCTGTTTCTTCTTCCACTGATTGTGAAAAATGCGAATTGTTTGCTGAGGAGATTCGTCGGTACAAAGACAATTTGAGCAAGTGTAAAGCGAGAAACAGGAGACTGAGAAAACAGTTCTGTGACCAGAAACAAACTATAACACAACAGACCAACCAGGTTTGTTTTCCACTTTATAGTGAATCATTCTACAATTCATAAATGAAATATACAGTAATCAGTATAACTATATTTGTGTCTCGTGTTCACAACAGAAAACACAAACCAGGCAGTGAATTCAATATAATTATATATTTATATTATCCTGGCACAGGTTCAATTCCTTCCACAGGTTCAATTCCTTCCAGAGGGCCTATATAGTTAAATTTTTGCTACTGGTCCTGGTCTAAAAATCATTTTAATTTCCTTTCAATAGCAACAAGAAAATCAGATGGAAGACATTCCTGAACAGCCTGAAGAAAATGAGAGTCAAGACATATTGGTGGAAGAAAGTTATGATGAGCCTCCTGATGAAAGTCAGACCGAATCGGATGAAGAAAGTGATTCCGAGGTTCCATGGAAAGCGATGGAAGAAGAAGCTGAAGAGAATGATTATGGCAACGATGAAGAACTGAATAGGGCAACACAAAATACTATTAGGTATGATAGACATTACATATTTATTATGCCTTTCAAAAAATTCTCAGGCCAGAAAATACAACATGGTTTTTACATAAAGCATTTTTAATTATCTCAGTGACAATAAAACATTGTATACATTGACAACTTATGTCAACCTGCGACAAGCAACAACAAAAATGTGCTTGAGATAACCTGCACACCCTATTTCATTGGTGTTGAAGCCGTGTGTGACAACAACCGGGTGTCCCAAGAAAAACTGTACACTGTTTGATTTATTGTAACATAAAAACTATAAACGCTATCGCACTTGAAATTTCATTGAATTCGGAAAAAGCTAACTTAGATTTTGATACATAACATTTAATTTTCCGTGCAAATTTAGTAATATTCCAAAGTTTCGTTGCGAAATGTTGTAAAATGCGGATAATATAGCAATGCGAAGTTTGCCGTTTTTCAGTCATTTTGTATTACGCACGGGAAATTGACAGCCCAATCGGGTGTTGGGGCATCAATTTTCCGTTTGTAATCTAAAATGACTGAAAATTGCAAACTTCGCAAGGGTATATTATCGTTACAACATTTTGTAACGAAACTTCGGAATATTACTAATTTTGTGATGCTCTTTCAAGCTGTGATGAAATTTTTGTCTAGATCAAAATTTAGTCTATAATGCAAATGGTCCATTGGCTACTTACTATAATATCATCTTTTATGTACCATTGACTGAATCAGTGTACCACCTAATGTGTCAAATGCCAAGACGAACCAAAGTTCATAGTGTTCTATAGTACACTATAATGTATGCATGGAAATACGATGAACCTGCCATACTGCAATGGTGCTAATGTATTCAGCAATAACAGTTTGTCATATTGTTCGGTTCTCTCTGAGCCATGACAAGCTGCCCACAGCCTACCATGACGTTCGGGCACAAACGTACTCAATTTTATATACTGTAATGAAAACTACTTTTCAGGTTATGTTGAAAAGATCAAAGAAATTATGTTCAAAACGTCAAAAGAAGAGAGAGAAAAGATCAAGAAAAATTTAAAGCAAAATGCCCAGAACCTTTGAACAGACAATTTCCTGAGAGAGCAACAAAACAAGATGCCATAGAAAATGATGGTTTGAGGAAACGGAAGATTGCCCAACTATTCTCACCAGGTAAATCATGTTTTCAATGAATCTATCCAAACTTATCATATTAATCTAAAAAGGGTTAGAAAATTGCCTCGACAAATTAGTAAAAATTAAAATGTCTATTTCTTATTATATAGGTGAAGATCAAGAAAAAGAAAAGGAAAAAGAGAAAGAACAAGCCTCCAACCAAAAAAAACAAGTTGCTGCAAAAAAGTAAACAAGCAATGAAAGGACATCCCAGGTCACACTGTCCCACTCCAAAGTAATGTAACACTCCTGGTCACTGGTCAGGTTGTTGGAAGCATATTAAGATAGCACTAACCATTGAATCCAAATGAGAGACAGTTCAAACAGCCACATTGATTTTGTTAAACTACATGTATGATAAACAATATTTCAAATGTTCTGCTAGTGACTGCCCGTTTATACGGTACCAGACAAATTTTTGTCTGGTAAATATTTGTACTGATACACTTTTTGTTCACACTGACCCAGCCTATCCAAGCATATTTTTGTTCACCCATCCAGGCAAGGTTTGCATACCTAGTTTGAAATTGTGAAAATATTTGTCTGGTACTGTGTACAGTAATCAGTACACATTTTTATTTGGACAAAAATATGTCTGGTTCTGAGTAAACAGGTTCTTACACAGAAATAATACATGTTTACATGAGACGCGATGAGAAATTACTCAAAATAACTTCGTACCAGTGTCATTCGAGTGTCAAGTTCACTGTTATTTGAAAGAATTGACAAAAGCTTGTTATATGTACTGTTAAAATATCACTCTACAGTTGCTCTGTCCTGCCCAGATACATATCCTTTTGAATTGCTTGAAGAAAATCTCTTTCTAAGGGACCGCTCATTATTTATTGTACAGGGGGGGACTGAGGAGAAACTCTACAGTTGTAATATTTTTTCGTTGCCCCCCTCTTAAGACAAGTAAAATTTTCAAAGCCCCCCCCCCAACAGGCAAAACAAGAACATAAATTTTGCCCCCCCTCTAGCTCTTTATCTTTATTTAGAGAAACAAAAACTCTAGCTGTTTATTTTAGAGAAAGAAAAATAGGTAATGGGGACCAATAGACATTCCCATAATAGACTAATTTTTTATCTTAGCAAAAAAAGTATATTCCCGGGAAGGGCATACTAAAATTACTAAAATTCCAAAGTTTTGTTGCAAAATGTTGTAAAATATGTAGAAAATATAGCCTTCCAAAGTTTGCAAATTTTGTATTCTTTTGTATAATTGCAATTTTCGCATGCAATACAAAAGTGTACAAAATTTGCAAACTTTGCAAGGCTATATTTTCCGTATTTTGCAACAATTCGCAACCAAACTTTGCAATAATTTGCTTATTTTAGTATGCTCTTTCTAGCTGTGGTGATTTATTTGCATCAAGGCCGGATTTTGAGGGAAGTGTGGAGAGGTGCGCACCTCCCCTGAGAATTTTTCCACCACTCTTGAGAATTTTTCCACCTCTCTTGAAAGGTCATGCACTTCCCCTTGGGAAAGTTTCAATGATGGAACAAAGTGAAAATGTGATGGTTGCTTAGGATCTACACTTTGTGACGTAAGAAAGTTTTCTCTGTAAAATTGAAACAGTGATAGCCATGTCAAGCACCCTTTTAATGCAATGTTTTGAAAGAAACAGTGTAGCAATTGTAATGAAGGGCAAGATTGGAGTCATACATTCATAATTCATTAATACACTGGTACATATGTACACTACATGCATACCTCACCTTGTTGATATTGGCCTGTTTTACAATAAGCCATAACTTTCCATGGGAGTTGTGAGCTAGACCGCTGCACCTCTCCTAAAATTTTTGTCCACCTCCCCCACTATTTTCACCAAAATCCGGCCTTGATTTCCATCTCTTTGCCTAGTTCTAAAATTAGTCTATAATGGGAATTGTCTATTTACATGAACATGAGAGACTTTTTATTTGACTTCCATTTATGAATATTAAAGTCTATAAATATTGTTATTTGTTGTTAAGTTGTTTTGTGATACTTTTTTAAAACTACTGTTTTTTCAAACTGGTAAATATTTTCAAAGCCCCCCTTCTTTCGTCTCTCTGTATTTTTTCAAAGCCCTCCCTTTCAGGTTTTGAAAAATTTGAAGGCCCCCCCAGTTTCTCCTCAATCCCCCCCTGTACAATAAATAATGAGCGGTCCCTAATGTTGTGATAAACACAGGCAGCCAATGGTCGGGTATTTTCCCAGCCCATCTCACCGAATAGCCATCTTGCAAGCCATCGATATGCAACTGCACGTAAAAATCTTGAAAAAAAAAAGTTGTCAATGGCACCATAAAACCGTTCAGTCACAAATACTTACTCAGATGAAGCAATATTGTATTGTCACTGTGACTATACCTGCAGTATGTATAGGGATTGTAACAACCAACTAATTTTTAAATTGCCAGATATTAACTTGAATCAAATAAAGTTATGATAGTCTCTTTGTATAAATCAAAACCTGTAGCATTTTGGATTTTTTGTAAACTATAATATTGTTTTATACCACTATTTAACTTGAGTTTGTATAAACATCAAACATAAACAAGCATTACATTTTACAGGAGGCATACTGTCACTGTCATTAAATGCTCATGAGAATTTGTTCACTGTGGTCAAGATTTATTTCCTCGTGTCCTTTAATACTACAGTAAATACTTACTCGTTTGCTGTGTGGCCATACTTGTTGTAGCGCCTATCACTTTTAGTTTTGAGCAAAGGACCAACTTGTAACAGGACTGTTTTATTAGTCAAGGGATCAAAATCTACATGACTGGCTATACACATGGCGTCTAACCCTTCAAATGTAAATTTTGCTGTCGCTTCGATAATTTCCTTGCAGCAGCGATCAGTGCCTTATTTAACTATATATCTGGGGGGGGGCAATTGTCCCCCCCCCCAAGGTAAATAATTGCCCCCCCCCACCAGTAAAGCCATTTCTGCCCCCGAAGTGCGAAGCAGAATTGCTCATGATTGCTGTCAGAATTGCAGTTAATTTACTTAATAATGAGATTATGCCCTTCCGTAGCCTCCTCCACCGCCATCTTGTGTGCAATTCATATTGTTCTTCACCGAGTATTTCATAATAGCGATAGATTTCATGCAAACAATCCGATAAAATGCTAGCCTTTCCAAGCCTTGCGACTATTTCCTAGCACTCTCCTCCGCAGAGGCGTTGTGTTTTGTTTTGGGAGGTTTTATTTCAAATTTTTTTTCTAAAAAATATCAAGTTTTATTTTTTTTCTTGCGGTCCGAAGTCATATTTTACGCTTTTGTGCAATCTGATTGGCTACGTGAGCGGTCCGTATGAGCCCGTACGGACCGCGCAAGATTTACAGCCGTAGAGTCAATGTTTTTATTTTTCAAAATTTAAAGACGAGTTTAAAGGCTACTTTTTAAAACATTAAAATGTCTGCAGACGATGAAAAACACAGTGAAAACGAATTTTACTATCTCACAAAAGATATTTCTCTTCCCGATAGCATTGATAGAAACGACGTTTTATTTGGCAGCTTCATTCGCGTGCGGGAGGAGTGATTGGGGAAATCCAGAGGACGAATTAAAAAAAAAAAAAATAATCATTAAGAGCCCACCCCCAATCGCCACAAAAACCATTCTCTCAGAAAGGCGAAATCCGTAGATTAAGTACGTCTCAATCTCGTACCCAGAGCAATGCCTGTGCGCGGGCTAGGACGGCATTGGCTCTGGGGAATGTATGCATCATCATAGCATGAATATATTTTCTCAGACTTATTCTGTATCGTATGAAAAAGCAACGCAATGCGGAAATGGTGTCTCAATGGAAAAAAGCAAATTATACTCTGATCAACTAAATCGGTTTCTCACATTCAAAAATAAGATGGATGTTCCGGCTCAAGCTCCTGTTCAAACAACTCCACTAGTGCCTGCAGAGATACCACCACAAGCGCCTCCTACGCCTGTAATAGCGGAAATACCACCACCAGTGCCTGCTACTCCTATACCTAATTTCCTTACGCCACCACCAACAGAAGAGGAACGACCAAAACTCAAGCGCAACTTTTTCCACAATTGGGTAGACTCTACAGATTGGAGACCCCAAAATTTGGCAATGATGACCCCTGAGCAAAGAGAAGATTACGAACAAAGATTACTTCGCGAGAGACCGAAATATTTTCCAATGAAGGATGAAGATGTTGCAAAGTTATCCCCAGAAGATAGACAAGAATATGAAAACTCTTTAAAAATAACAAAAACACCTAGACGTTACGCTCTTAGAAGTAGACCTACTAAATTTTGTAAAACGTTTTGAAGAAATAAATGTATTTAAAAACTGAAATATTGTGTAAATTTTTGCCGGCAAAGCCCGCTCTTTCCGCCCGCGCGACCCGCCCGCCTGATTAGTGTACAAATATGTTGTACGTTAATATATGCATGCACGCAAGCGTCGCTAATGACTTAATAGGGAGCTTAAGCATCTAGGACGGCAACACGACGACGACGGCCACCAATACAATGAGTCAATGAAAAGAAATAAATAATTAAAGTCCCAGGGGAGTTTCAGACGTGGTCGTCGTTCTGTTTACAACGGCAAATCACAGATTTTCACGTCTTTTATACAACGCTTGCATATCAAGCCGTAACAAGTGCAACTTAAAATTCGGTCAGTAGAACTCTTCCCAAACATAAAGCCAATGTTTTCAGCCTCTTATACTGTATTAAATTCATACGAATTATAATATATGACAAGTTTTCTTTACTATCATTTATTTGAAGGAATTTGTTTTGGCCGTCGTCGTGGTGTTGCCGTCCTACATGCTTAAGCTCGCTAGTAACACATAACAACGTATATAACGATTACATGTTTTTATTGCAAAATATATTACAACTGTTCCAATTCTAACTTATATTCTTGATAAGCTTACTTATGATCTGACTCGGTCATCTTAACAGTATAAATGTATGTAGAATATTTGGCATCGTTCGCCAGTTTCGTTCATCATGAGGCAATCATGTTGTCTTTGACTAGGATGACCGACTTGACAACGATTACAGGATTCCGCACAAAGTCTTTCAACTTTTGGCTGCAAAGCGCTCCTGTCTTGTCTAAATCGCTTTCCCTCTTCCCGCACGGATAACCCGCGACGCGCGCGCAATGAATATCCTAATCTACCCGTATTTATCCACACAGTAGAAAAATGCAAATCTCTGATA